TTATTGTTGGGAGGTTGTAAAATTATTTTTTTTTAATTTTACAGAACCATTATTTATTGACATAGAAAGATGTTCACAGTATACAATCAGTGAGGGGACAAGTTACAAATATTTATAGTGTGATCTTGTTTTGATTTCTTAAATGAAAATCTCAAAGCATGTACTTGATGGTTTCACACATAAAGACTTTCTCCACAGCTCAGACCAGGCGTTGTAATTCCTTTGGATCTCATAACCTCAACCAAATTCCTGAAATGTTTTTTGGGCAATAAAGACTTCCAGGAATCATTATCTTGTAGTTTGAGACAGTAACCTCTCCCCTTGATTTCTTGTTCTATATTGGTGGAACTTCAGTTATGGGTTCAAATTTCTCCAGTTAAGTTTGCTCTGTTTTAGCTAGTACAAATGCAAACTGGGCTTGCCTGCTAGTAAAGGATTGAGTTCTTTGGACTTTCATTCATGTGACACACAGAATAAATTATAAAAAAGTAAAGTATGATTTTTGCAAGAGAAAGAAAGCAACTATCTTTTAAATGCAAGGTATGAAACAATGTTTAGAACAATTCGAGGTCTTTAAAACACAAGGAACAGATGGATAGAAAAAGGTAGGATATACATTACTTTACTTCCTTATATGATTCACAGCTCCATCGAACTTGGGTCCTTGTGCTTGTGCAGCAGGCAGTGAAACTACTGAGCTAAATCCCCAGCCCCTGTTCAACAAAGTTTTTGATACCTAGTATTACCCAGATACTGCCAGGCAAAATATGTACATCCATCTCAGACTTTTCTCCTGATCTCCAGTCCACTATAGCCAAATGTCTAATGGACAATTGCATTTGGAGGAAGTTGAGAATTTAACACCTCACAGAGACTTATCTGCCACAAAATTAAACCATTAAAAACAAATGCTAGGGCCAGGGATTTAGCATAGTGGTTCTGCCACCTGCCTTGCAAGCTCAAGGACCTGAGTTTGATCCTCAGTACCAAAAAAACCCGAAAACAAATGTTCTTTAAGCTTTGAATGCCAATACCTAAAAAATTGAAGGACCATAAGGTAGTGTTGAGAGGTGACAGCTATGTGAACTGCTTGTTATGAGGGTCTAGAAAAAGGTATTTAACCATTGTAACTCTCCTTGAAGGATGCCCAGAATACTGAGTTCTAATAAAAGAACATTCATATTTCGTTCACAATCACTGTAAGAGGAAAAAATTTGCAAAACACCTTGCCAACACAATATTTCATGAAGAGCTCTCGATAAATGTCTTCTCCCCATGCAGACCACCCTTTTCTTTGTAAAATAACTTTGACACAATGAAACTGCCTAACAATTTATGAGTTGTAAGTGTACTAACAAAAATTTTAAAAGTAAACAAGCATCACATTTTGTCTAAGATTCAGTTATTTCTGTTTTGAATGAGTTCTGATGTATCTGGAACAGGAGAAAAATAGAAATCCCTTATGATAACCTAAGCCTCCTAAATGTATTGATAGGGTACACATACACATACCACATATACACCTATAGGTACTATTATTTATGTGTTCATACCTTATTTCTGTATGTCAATTACAAATTCAACATTTTCCTTTTTTTTTCTTCTCTTGGTACCGGGGATTGAACTCAGGACCTTGAGCTTGCGAGGCAGGCGCACCACCACTGAGCTAAATCTCTGGCCCTAACATTTTCTTTTTTGCCATTTGAAGCTACAAAGGAATCTAAGCAGATACTAACGATGAAGCTAAGCTTATTTATAATGAAATGGCTTACTCTAAGTAAAATTTTAAATATGCCAATCTAGACAACATAAAAGTCAAAAAATATTTTCAGATGTTAGCATTCATTTGATGCACACAAAAAAATGTTCTAGCTCAGATACAGCCTCACAGGTAACACTGTTGAAGATGTAATGTATAATGTGTGCACTATAATGAAAATTATGCAAGGATCTTTGTAAATGTAAAGCGTTTCAGAATCTGGAGATGATTCAGTGTTCTCTTTCCTTTCTGAGTGATTTTACATTGTTTCAATAATTTCTTTAATTTCATGGAAAATGGCCATAAGTGTATTATAGCTCAAGTGATCAATGACTACAATCGAGCCCTTTCTTATATGCTCCTTTATATTAATAAATATGGCCACAGCACTAACAAGGTTGGGTTTTGCCTCTTTCTGGTTAAAAATGAGTTTTATTACTGCCAATGCCTTCATATTGATCAGGTCTCTGGCTGCAGTTGGATTTTCAGACACATTCAAAAGTACTTTCAAAACAAAATGTCTGGTTTTACGATTCCCCTGAAACAGCAAATGGAAAAGCCCTGAAAAGTAACTAGGAACGATATAGTGATGGACAGATTCAGTAGTCAGTTGCCCAAGTATCTTTAGTGCAGTCTGCTGTCCAGGTGAGTTTAAGGGGAAAGACACAGTTGACTTACACATATGCTTAACATATGTAATTCAATCTTGCATTGTCTTTCATCCCCAGAAAGAGGATTCAGAGTAATTACAGTCTTTTTCCTCCTTTCAGGGGAAGGAAAAGTAAGTAAGCTTTCAATAAGTATCACTACACCCACTTCATTAATGAATTCTTGGGCAAATGGATGAACATTATCCATCGAATGCAATTGGTACTATTTTATGTATGAGAGGATCAGTGGTTGACTTCAGTATGCTAACAAGTTTTTCAAATTCCTCAGAATCCAAGTAGCATTCCATTTTGCAAGAGCAAGCAAATGGCTTAATCCCATTGACCTCCCTGATCTTAATTTGTTGCCTAATTTCATCTATGGTCTTGATGCAAGGATCAGAACCAAATAGGGACTCAGGAATAGACTGTGAGCTTCAGCAAGTGTTCCTAGAAGGGCAAGCTGCTGCTACAGAAGAATGAGTACTTTCTTCAGTTGAGGAAACAACAATATGTGAAGAGGGCTTTGTTTCAGATGGGACCTGGGTTCTAAATCCTAACACTGCTGGTGTTACTGCAGGGGCTTTGGGCCATACAGTAACCTCAAACCAGTCCTTGGGTCTGTGTTTTTGATTAATTGTATCCACAGGCTGAAGTCTAACTGTCCTGTACAAGTTTGGGCTCAGGGTCAAAATTAGTGCCATCTTCCCAAAACCAGTTCCTTATAACATTTTCTTCCTCCTCCTCATCAACCCCTGATACAGACTTACAGCTGGCCACAGCCACAGACTCCAACTTCTCAGCACAGACCTGGGCACCAGTATCAGCTTTACTTTTGTCTTTGGTACTGGAATGATTACCAGCCTCTTCTCCCTTCCAGAACCAGCAACTAATATTGGCCTCTTCCCCAGCCCAGAACCAAGTCTTAATACCAGCCTTATCTTTGCACATGGAGTGGGTAACCTCATTCTCGGCTTTGCAACTGACATCTGCTATGACTTTCACTGGAGCCTTAGGTTCTGATGGCACCATTTCTTCATCTCAGTAGCAACCCTGTTCTTAGACACTACCTTCATCTCTGTCACTACATCTGCTTTATGCCCTGCTTTGGCTTTTGTTTTGGACCAGGTCTTGGCTACTGCTTTGACTACCCTTGTAACCTCCTTCTCTGCTCCAGTTTTAGCTGGTACTTTTGCCCTTTTCTCAGTTTTGGCCTTACTCTTTGTTCCAGTCATTGTTAAAGCTCAGTTACATAGTCTTGTCCAATCTGATCAGTGTCTTTATATTTTTTTTACTGGGTTAGAGATGAACTTGGTAGTAGGAGTTAAAGAGTCACTTGTCAGTTTAGCAGTCACACAGTCCCCTGTCCAAACACAAGCTTTGTCAATGATATGGCACCAGTAGAGGCACACTCAGGCTGCAGGAAGATGATGATTTCTGAGTGCAGACCTGTTGAAGGTAATGATCTTCTACCAATCCAAGGCCAGCACAGTTACTAATGGACATAGACCTTGAATCCAAATGAACAGCTTTCGTTCTGTTTCTTAATTAACTTGCAAGTGAACAGCTACCCGAAGATCTTTGTAGGAACCCCATTTACTGTCAATGCTCACAAAGCAGGGGTTCTCAGGAGATGCTATCTTTCCAACCAAAAAGAATCCTGAGGTTGGAGAAAAGTCACCACCTTTGTGATGGTCAGGAACAATGTAAATTAACTCCAGGAACTCTGAAGGCTCCGGGGATAACCATAGGCCACGCCAGGAAATTTTCTGGAGGGACTGATTCTGTTCTCTCCTTTCCTCTGGCAGCTCAGCACTCGGACTCCCACCGCTTTCCGCCTTCTGCTTTCTGCGAGACCAGAATTGCAAAAGAGCATCCAGCTCCCACGCCTCTGCACCAAACCCGGTCTGGCTGGGCAGAATGCACTGCAGCAAGAACTGCTCGCCTTGCCCCAAGGGTGTCTGGAAGAGGGGCGGAGGGATACTGCGGGAATGGGCTCCAACTCTGTAAAATTGTAAATCTCAATCATACTCTACTATAGAAAGATCCTTCTTACCACTTTCTAATAACATATGTGTTATATTTTATATCTATTTCTATTTAATCTATGTCCTATAATCTATTTTCAAGGAGTATAAACATCAAGACTAAGGGAATAAATTTACAATACTATGTGCTTTATCACTGGTTGATGCATATATATTTAAGCAGAGATAAAGAAAAAAAAGCAGTTTGTTACCACAAGTATTTTAAGAGTGTATTTTTAGTGTAACATAGGAGTTGATTATGTCTTTTAGATAGTTAATAATGACTTTGTTTTTAGATCTTGATCAAGAGGTTTGTGGCACTCTAAATTGTAAATTAAACCATCCCATTTTATTTGACAATAGAAACAGTGAAAAAAGAAAAACCACATGAATTTCACATAAGAAATTGGCTTGGCTGGGCCAGGGATTTAGCTCAGTGGTTCCGGCGCCTACCTTGCAAGCTCAAGGTCCCAAGTTCAATCCCCGGTACCAAAAAAAAAAGAAAAAAAGAAAAAGAAAAAGAAATTGGCTTGGCTGAGATCCCTATGAATATTATCAGATGTGGCATTCCAAGGAGCAATTTCAGTGCTCCATTTGGCCATGACTCATCCGTATTTCCTTGGTTGCAGCCCAATGGCAGCCTCAGCACTGATGTCAACTAAAACCCCTAGTGGAATATGGAAAAGGAGTCACAAGCTAACGAGATTGACAGAATTTTTTGGCCCTGTTTCGTTCTGCAGTAAGCACAGAAACATTTAAGTTTTAGGCATTCAGCCTTTGCTTCCTTTTCCTTGTACTGTTTATCAAATGAAACTATTTTTCTTTCAAAGGCAGAGGAAACATTTGAGCAATGCTTACATAACTGTTTGCTTATTATAACACATTGTTTTCTGCTATGCACAAGAATCATGTGTCATGTATGGATTCAAAATTGAATATCTTTAAGTTTAGTTTCAAAAGATTTTATTAGGAGGGATAGTTAAAAAGAAACTGTTCAAGATCTATCTAAAATATTGCTACCATATATATATATATATATATATATATATATATATGGCTGATATATATATCAGAACACATATGTATATAGGTATATATATATTTATATAGCTGATATATATCAGAACACATATATATGTATATATATATACATATATGCATGTGTGTATGTGTTCTGATTTTCATTTTAAATTAAACTGAATGCACCTCTAAATTGTGGTCATACAATTTTCATTGAAAAATTTAAATTGGCAGTAAATCTCTTCAGCAAGAAACTGAATAAGTTTTTGCAAAGCAGTACAAACTTTAAATAAGGGTAGAATAAAGTCAGATTATTTTCTGGGAGAAATCTAATTGTGATGTTGATGATTTCATCACTCTTAAAATTTTGTTATAACATAATACTTTTAAAAATCTTCCCTGTTTATAGCAATATTCACAATATTTATTATCTGTAAGAATAGTATTATATTGGCTCATACATAAGTCAATAATTGTAACAGTTATTTGTTTAGAGGCATGGAGTGAATTTGATGTGCTTCAATAGAGATTTATTTTACAGAGAAAATATTAGCTAAAGGCTTAATAGATAAAGAAAATTATGAAAGATTAAGCCTCTACTTCTAATCCATTTGTAGGTACATTATTCACATTTAACAAAGTAATATCATGTCCAAGAAATATGAAATCAAAATGACTGGAACTATAAGAAACTAAGGGATGAGCCCACATAATCTCTTTTCATTAACAAATAATTGTAAGTAGTGACTTTATTGGTGTGACTTCATTGAAGTCACAAGATTTATAAGTAACAGCATGGCATCTTTTGTTTCATTTTTTTCAGTTGTTTATGTATCTATTCATTCATTATTATGCATTTTTAGCATTGAAATTCATAAGAAATAGCTAATGGTTTCCTTACAGCCTTGGAAAAGTCTGTTTACAATCGTACCTCATATCTTTTGATCAAAGAATAATTGCTAATTTGAATTATGAATTTTCTTTCTGTTGCTTTCCTTATAAGAAAATACCTGTGCTTTAGTAAAACATATGATTTTATTTTTGTATGTTTGGAATTTCAATAAATAATATCTTGACTATGACATTCCTCTCATATTTATTTGATGACTCAGTAGATTTTTTAGATGCAATTTATTGTTGTGTAAAAGGTAGTACATTCATTTTTACTGCCGCAGGAGTATTCTATTCATGGATATTTAACTTCTCATTTTTGCATTCTTTTAACATACATTACAGTTTTTTCAGTTTCTTGTTTTTAAAAGCACTGACGTTGTACTTATCCTTGTACACATCTTTGACTAACAAGGGCAAGGATTTCTCTAGGTTTCCACGTGATACGGATTTGCTGGCTCAAGGTTTGAATCTTATTAAATTTTACTAAGCAGTGTAAATGATTTCCCAAAGTGGCTGTGGTATGGTTCTTTTCCACTGGCAAGGAATGAGAGTTTCTAGTGTTCTCTATAAAGGACTAATCTTGTTATTGTCAGACAGTTTAAATTTGCCAAACTCGTGGGTATAAAAAATGATTTCTCATTTTTCTTTTAGTTGTGTTTGTCCTGAATTCTAATGAGTTTCATCTTATATTTACAAGTTATTTACAGTTCTGTACTGTGGCCTATCTACATATGGGACTGCATAACCTTTGTTCCTTTTCTCCAGCCCCACTGTGATTAAATGTGAGTTAATGGATAAAGATGCTTGTTAGTTTTGGGACACTAGATAAAAATCTGTAACAGACCTAAAGTCCCAAAGTAAACT